TAAAATAGACGCCTGTACAACGTTGTATTTATTTTTCTACACGAGGTTGATTTATTGCGGTGGCTAAAATTTGCGTTCGATGTTACCGGACTAGTCAAGAAATGTACCTCTAAAAATCAGCATTGAACTGACGGTAAATGGTCCAGGTGGAGATCAAAACAAATATGGATTCCATACGGTTTCATTGAAGAAAGCATAGATCGCACGTGTTATAGACTCAAACTATCGGGTTCGTTCAGCCTGTTGATAATTGAAGCTTGTTAAATGACCCAATAAGGTGTCGAGCGAGTTGAGGCCAGCAAAAATACACTCAACGTGTGAAGACGTTTGAGATCTTGATGGCCAAGAGTGTGAAAGCGTAAACGTTAAGATTTTCTAGTATAACGACGTCAGTTCGAATCCTGTCTGGGCGTATTAAAATTGATTCCGTGGAGGAAGCACGGAATAAATCTAGATCTTCCATCTTTGCTTAAAATAGATTTAGTACGTAGAACAACTATGTCGAAAATTGTGAGGTTTGGGTAAAGAGAAAAAAAAAAGATATTTTGTTGGTAAAATTCTTAAACATAAGTTGAACAAGCAAACATAATGATATGTTTGGAGACTGGGGCTTGGCATTGTTTACGCTGATGCTCCTTCCGATTCGCCCGCTTTCTCCAAGCTCATGTGTTTCCAATCGGTGCGAAGATCTTTCCGCAGTCCCTGGAGACGCATGACCTGCCATGTTCAAACACGCAGTTATGTTCCGTAATAGTACCACGAGGATTTTCCAGTTCGAAGGCAAATGTCTCATCCTAGTATATATAGCACTGGAGCCAGGATCCAAAAACCGACCTAATCGCAGGCGAAGGTTTGATTGTGAATTAGGAATGTTTATGTTATCTTGAGTAAAAAGAACCTCATCTGCCGTTCCAAAGCTGCTGCTTTAAAAAATGGCGGCTGATTTAAAGAATCCTAGCGAAAAATATTAGAAAAGTTTAATTTTTTTTACTTGTATATATGGGTTTAGACATATAAAAACAAAATTGCTAAGCCGGGCCACCAAGGGAAAACATTTACAGCAAAAAAGTCAGATTTTTTCGATATTTTTTTGGTTTTTCACCTATAACTCCTAAACTATGCACCAAAGCAACAAAATGTGTTCCTTAATAAATCAAAGAATGTTAAATTTTGCGTCAAACGAGTACATAAACTTTAAAACATTGTTACGCAGTAAGGTATAAATCCACGGCCAACCAATGCTGATTTTTACCAAATTTGTCAAAAACTGAGACAAATTACTATAAATGGCTCTGTCACGTGGAAATGAGTTCCCCAAGAGGAAAAATCCATAGCATTAAAGTTGAAGAGCATCAAATTTTGCGTCAATTGATTACCAACTAATTTAATGTAGGTCACTTGCTCCGAACAAAATCGGTAATCTCCCGATGGTTGAAAATTGGTAATGAAGGTAAACGTGATTTTCAGTATTTTAACAGTATGGGTGTCTATTCTACTGTGTTATTTTTGTTTAAAGTCTGTTGATGTAGTATAAGCCTCTTTTCCACCTCTCAAAAGCAAAGGATTTTGGTAAATGAGATCCAGAAAGATACCGAATTTTATAATGGAATAACGAATCCCGATTAGAGATATATAATTGGCCTACAATAAAAATATCAGTACACAGTAGACGCAAAATGCGATGCGCTACAACTTTGATTATATGGGGTTTTCCTCCTAGTGAACTCATTTCCAAGTTACAGGGCCATTTGTGATAATTTGTCTCAGTTTTTGATATATTTGGTAAAAATCAGCGTTGGTTGACCGTGGTTTTTTATCTTAAAGCGTAACTAAATTTTAAAGTTTATGTACTCGTTTGATGCAGCATTTAAAGTTCTTTAATTTATTAAGGAATACATTTTTCGCTTTGAATTATCGTTTAGGACTTTTTTTGGGTGTAAAAAGTTTTCCCTTGGTGGCCCGCCTTAGCAATTTTCTTTTTTACATGTCTGAACCCATATATACAAGTTTAAAAAAATTAAAACTTTTCTCAAATTTTTTGAGACGGATTTCCCATTTCGATCCTCAAATTATTGGCCTAATATTCTTTAAATCAGCCGCCATTTTTGAAAGCAGCGGCTCTGGAAGGTAGACAAGGTTCTTTTTACTCAGAATAACATAAACTTTCCTAATTTACAATCAAACCTTTGCCTGTGATCAGGTCGATTTTTGGACCCTGGCTCCAGGCCTATCAGCGCTCGATCATTTAACGTTACCAGAACTGAAGACCGTTGGGGGGAGCAGTGAGGCACGAGTTCTCTGACATTGGTCGGGATCAGGAGCAGAGTTCCTGCCGGACAATGGGACTAGTTAGCATAATAAATATATTTATTGTGAGGGCAGGTGGGGCCGAGGAGATACGGCTGTATGCACCATGGGGATCAACCCTCCCACATCCTCCATATGGCCCTCCCTACCCCTTCGCCGTCTTATCGCAGGGAAAAAATGATTCCCATGACTGTTAGGTATGGGAAGGGGGAGGACATCCTCAGTTTTTTAAAATTGACTCACAACATAGTCGGTTGAGCACAGTCAATATTAATAAGTTATGTCACTCGACTTGAACAACCACACTGAACCTAGGCATGCAAAAGAAATAGTTATACGATATTTTATTTTAAACAAAAATAAAAAGTATTTTTACATTAATAATATTATTTCTGTACTTAGGGGATGCTATGTCATTTTGTACTTACGTATATATGTAATATATAGTAAGGGTAAGTATTGCGATCGAGAAAGTTTTTGATTCTGAGTTTTCATCGGAAATACACGTTATGGGGTACCCCTGAGTCGAAATGACCAAGTCCCGAAAAATGGTCTGTGTGTTTGTATGTTAGCAGTCAAGCTCAAAAACGAAAAGTCGTACAAAACTGACATTAAGTATTTAAGATAGGTATATGCCTTAGATATGACAACAACATTTTCCTCAAAATCGGCTAACCGGAAGTGCCACTTTATATCAACGCTGAGACACATTTTTATAATTTTCTCAAAAACTCGCTGTTTCATTGTATATTGAAGAGGTCTTTAATATCATTTAGGTCTTATCCTAATTGATGTCACTTTACAGGGCTTAAATGCCCAGTGTTCATATAAGTCTTACTCCAAAGTACCTTTAATACCGTTTATTTTAAAAATTTAATCATCTCGTATTATTCAGAGTTACGAAAAAATCCTAAACATAACTTTTGAAAGAATTTGATAAGTTAATAAAGGAGAAAAAAAAAATAAAGAATAACCTGCGTCACTATAGACTGTAGCGCCTAAACGAATGTACCGATTTCAGTGAAACTTCCCTAAAGTCATTTTCTCGACACCCTTTAAATTCATTTATATAACATACTTCAACAAAAACAAGCTGGAAAAAAGTTACGAGGGATGGTAAAATTAAATTAAAAATAACTCACAAAGTATACACTTGTTGGTGGATATTGTGATAAGATGTTTCAAATGTATTTAAATTTCCTAAAAAATGAAAGAAGTTTCATCGAAATCGAAGCACCATTAGTAGAGATATCGCAATTTTAAAATATTTTTTGTTTATTTTAGCATATGATGTATCGTGCAGTATAACACTATCGTTTTTAAATTTGTCTTGTGTGTAAAGTGAGGAGGACAATACAATATAATGAAGGAAAATCAAGAGTGAACTTATTAATTGATAATATATTAATACCTGTATTTCATGTAATTTTTCGTCAAATGATAGTTCTGCGCTTTGCTAGGGATATTACAATAATTTCCTACTCTCGAAGCCACTCAATGCATCTATTTTTTTTTTTTATCAATACTATATTTTTCATATACTATTAAATTCTTAAATCTATTTACACTAATAAAGGATAATTCTGTTCTTCTAAGGTAGTTACATATCATCCAGTATTTAGATGGCCTTTAAGAGGCGACCACGCCCAATAATAATAGAGAGGGTACGAAGAAAGAAAATGATAAAAAATAAAATCAATAACAATCAATCTACATGAATGAATACAATTTCTAAACTAAAATATAAATAAACAAAAATATGAATAGTCGACTAGATCGCTAAGGTCTAGAAGTATGTATGTAGACGTGAGATCGACGGATTATTTTATTCTTTTCATTCATTATAGATATACAAGGCTGGGTGGTTGAAATTTTCCAATTATAACCTAACATCAATTATACGTCTCTCGGTGAGTTCTAACTAGTTCGTTTTAATGAAAAATATTGTTTATTGAAAAAACATAAAAATATGGAAATAAGTAGTTCCTATTTATTATGTAATGAAGGAATTAATATTTTTTCCTTGGTCAATTACAATATTCCATTAAACATAATAGACAAAAATATTTGTACAAATTGTTTTGCTAAGACCTATTTTTAAACGCTGACTGGAAAGATAATAAACGTAATATAGATAAAATAATGTCTCGATCATGGGATTTTAGATTATTATTATATTCTAGATTATTAAAAAATATAAAATGTAAGAACAACCAAATGTCTTTGAAAAATAATAAATCTAATATATCAGCCAGGAAAAAAAATGTAGTAGACTATTCCACTCCTAAATGCAATATCTTTAAATTGTAAGACATTATTAAGTATACCAAAACTAATGGACTGTATCTTTGTTAATAATTGTCCGGTTTTTATGATTTTCTTTTTTGTTTTGTAGGTAATTTAGCAATCGTTCTAATTATCATGGGTACAATATAGAAAAAAATCCATACTTTTTGAGTTATTCGAAAATAAAGTTTCTTTTCCTTCATAACTTTTTTCCCAGAAATTTGAAGGAGGAAAATATTTTCAAAATGAGTGGTCAATCATTGGATTTGATGAAGAATTGACGAAGTTATGGCATACCGACAAAAAACACCTTTTAGAAATAATATATAGGATACAGCCAGTTGTTGTTTTTGGTTAAGCTTGATATGATCATGTTTGTAAAATTACTTTTATAAATAAGTAATAATTACAACAAAACTATCCAATAAACATCTAAAACTTTATTGTTTATTGCTACGGATAAATTCACTAATGGTCAATGGAGACAACGGTTACGACTTGGCTAGTAATCTGGGTCTTCTACAACCCTTCCTAATTTATTGTGTATTGAGCGTCTCCGGTTCCGTATCCTTCACCGTGATGGTAGTGCTCTTCAACTTCCTCTCTTGTTTCTTCTCGATCTGTTCCGCTGCCTGGACTTTGTACTGTGCTTTAACCCTGGAACAATGAAAATAACAGTTACATACTTCATGGAGCAATATAATTTGTATTTCTATAATTAATTGAGAACTATTAAAATTGTATTAAAAATATAGACTGTTTGCTGAAATCATCTGAATATTTTACACATCACTATCCATTCATACAACTAAAGTCCATTATATTGTATTTTATTTTAAAATTGTTTATTTTAATTTATCCACACTTTAACATATCAACATATAATTTTACGGTTTTAGATGTTAATTGTTTTTTAAATTTATTATTCCACTCAATCATTTCAGAAGTTCGCACAAACATGGAGAGTGATGGCTAGATGTAAAGGTTGAAATAAGTATTTGGTAGGCGTGAGAGAGAGGGATACTCCAGCGGCGTCTTTTCCAGTCTTGATTTTTAATATTTGTAGTTATTGGAGGAGATCCCGCATCCAGCTTCATTTGAGCCTCCTATGGCTGTGATCTATCGGGTATGTTAGTTGTGGCCATGCCTTGAATCAGTGAATTGGTAGGTCCTTGAAAGTTATTGTGAAAAATTGTATAATAAGTTATTATAAAAGGATGGTCATCGATAGTCGATATTATCGAAATATCGATATTTGATATTTTACTATCGTTAATATTTACTTCGATATTATCTCGGTATCGTCCCTTTGATATTTTTTACTTTAAAAATAAAAATTAAATCGATCGTTTTCATAAAGCTCTGGGAATTATGTATGGATAAGATCGATAGAAGAAAATTATACTCAGATTGGCCGTTTCATATAAAATTTAGTGCACAGTAAAGTGAAATATCGATATTTCGATAATATCGACTAACTATGGTCTATGTAGATCTGAATAGCGTGCGTGGGATTCTTCTCATTCAGTAATTTCAATTTTCCCAAATTTATTAGTTCGAATATTCTCTGACGAAGAGCTCAAATTGCCGAAGAAATCTATGTAGGTTGTAAATATTTATTTATTTATAATAATTTTATAATTTCGCTGAAACCGATCGATCTATGGGTGAACAGAAGACATAATTGGTTGAGGAGTCCTGCTTTGGCTTCCACAATTGGGGACAAAGCTTGATTCAGAGTCCCCTGGGCCAATGTAAATATTGTACATAGGTGTGAATGTGTTCTATTTATTTTGTTATCATTCGGCTAATCTGTTATTTTACTTATCTTGTATATTACTTTATATATTTTTTTTTCTTTCTCTTCTTACTTGGTTATTTTTATTTATTTTCCTTTCTTATGTACATATTCTGTGAATGAATACTATAGCCCTAGTACCAATGCCCTTTAGTGTGGCAGACTGTATTAATATTCAATAAAACAATAAAAAAAAAAATGGTTAAATAGAAATTCCTGGAAAAAAGCTGATGACGAACATGGACAAGAACTAGAAAATTAATTTTACTAAGGAGAGTAGAAGAATTGATATTTTCATAAATTAATTTAAAGAGGAAAATGACATATTTTTGTATGTGCCTATGTGCTACAGAATCAATATTTATATTGATTTTCATTTTTCAAAAATGTTTATAAGATCGACTATCAATATTTGAAGTCCGATATTTTGATGTTATCGATATTATAGCCCGATATTAAAATCGTTGACAATATGGATATTGGGCCTTCGATATCCCATCACTAGCTCGTATGTGGCCGTACCTGTTGACATCTGTTACTTTATGTTAAGTAATGTTACTGACGTACCAGGGAGCTTTAGACATAGTCCTGAAAGTTTTTGATTGAAAAGTCTGTACCTTACGTTTGTGGGTCCATTTATTAATTTAACGCCATTCATGAGTAGATTAATGACTTTCTTTTGACAAGTTTTAACAAAAAATAAAAATAAATTTATCTGATGTTCTTTAGTATATTGCAATATTGGATACTATTCGTAAATTGAAATTTTCTAAACTTTTGTTTTTCTTCCTAAACTATTTGTGCCTGAGATATAAATTAATAATATATTTTAAAATTTCAAGGTTAAAAATGCAATTTTTTTATAGTTATTACTTATTTTTACTTTGATTTATTTATTTATTAAGGTTACCTCTATCCGGTAGGATCATGGAAAATCCTTTTAAATATTGGTGTGCTATGTATATTTATATCGCCATATAGGCTTCCCTCGTGTATATATATCATCCTTTTCAGTCATGGGTTATATATATATAATATATTATATATTTATTTTATACCACTAATTAACTCATCCCTAGATAACATTAATCCAGAGAATGAAGAAAGAGATAAACAATGGCTTAATCCAATAACTTACCAATTATCATTTGATTTTAACAAAATTTACTTAATTAATAAAGGTAATTTGATTTCATAATTAATAAAATCATATGTCCTTTTATTTTTACTTTCGTACCTATACTAGGTAAGGAAAGTATTGCGATCGGGTCAAATTTCCGATAGGCGGTTTTAGACAATCTTCGATACTCACTCGAAAAAAAGTTTATTGGCAAACATGTTTACAATGAACGAAATATATATATTACAACAACTACACTAACTATCTACTATGAGTGTCAATGTCTGACTACTTGCTAGGCGGGTAAGAGAGGGGTATTTATACAGAGTCAGAAGAAATATGCTGACTCTAGTGATTTACCATTATTTGGCTACCTTAAGTGACGAATCTATACGTTTCAGTGCCCCCTGAATCCGGAAAGCACATTTTTTGTTTGTACTGCAAAGGTATTATAATATTATTTTATTTAAGGAAGAAAATTATGAAATATCCACAATACATAATAATGGGCACTCCAACCAGCTGGTAAAAGAAATGGCCACAACTAGTATTCACGAGAACTCCAGAAGACGACTGAAAAGGGTCTGAATGAGTGATCTACTTAAATAATGTTTTAGTAAATAAAAGCCATGGAAGGAGTACCACAAGGTATTGCTATTCCTCATTCATCTCAAGCCTTTTTATTTCATTTTATTTATTTTTTCTCATTACTATACTACCAGCGTATCTGCTGATTGTTTTAATTGGCAGGTACGGAGTGCAATATATGAGAGTGCAAAAAATAAAATAAATAATAATAATAATAAATGCTGTCATCCAGTTTTTTGCCAGAGCGAAATATAAAATATAACTTACACCAAAAATGGATCTTTTTTACGAGTAGAAACAAATCATTTTTAATTGCAGGAGCCCTAAAGCTGTGGCGTTTTCTCTTCCCGAAACTGCCGTCCCCATTTTCACATCTGCACGACCAAGCCACCACCACCTTCATACCCCGAGTTATTAAAATCAATTATTCAATTAATTCAGTTGATTAATTTTCTATTATACATTAAATTCAATGAGAGTAGCAAATAACTGTTTAATTAAGTTACAGGTCGCCGCGACTGATTTATTATCCGGTACCAATCGGGAACTAATAAGATGAGGACACACTATTCCCAGTTATTGGAGTCATTAAATTTCTAATAGTAGCTTTTCCCCTTAATGCAGCGGAATATCGAAGCAGGCGGTGCACTCTAACCTGCAATCTGCAGCAGATTGCAAATGCACTCCGGAATAGAAAGTAGTATTATCGACATTCATCACGGCTTGATTCGGTATTAACATTTAAGAGCAACATTTACTCATAAGTCATTTTATCACTGATACATCGATTGATTTGTTTTAATTATATTAATAATGATCAATTATATTTAAAACATAATCGTGAGGCGTATCCCAAAACTTTTACTTATCTTCTTACTACAGAATATTTCAAAGAGGATAGTATTTAATTGATATAATGTCCCACTTAAAGAAGCATAGTCAAAATAGTTGGATCCGTTTTCGAGAAAATTTCAGAAATGTTCAAATGAATTTTATATAATTAAACTTCCCATAAGTCGATTGGAAAGGTTACTGTAACATTCTAGATATATAACCAACTTTACATACGCACAGACAGACGTTTTTGCGAAACAGTTATTTGGCATCGGAAGATCTTGAAACTAGTATGTTCGTTGAAAAATAGAATTCAATTTTTTGACAATCCCAATATATTTCATACATGGGTAAGTGAAAGTAGTGTTTTCTGACCTTCTTAAATTATTCACGTTTAGTAATTTCGAATGAATGGTTTTAATATTCGAAATAAATATTAAAAAAAAGGTGAAAAATACTAGATATATTTATTACATTTAGTTAAATAGATATCTATATTTAGATAAACAGACATTCACATCTATAATTGCATGATGCTCTTTAATATTATTTTTATAAATTTTCAAGTTTATTTATTTTCAGCCATTTTACACCAATTTTCAATTTTTTTTGTCAACTTGATGACTACTCATCAAGTTGACAAAAAAATTTGAAAATTGGTGTAGAATGGCTGAAAATAAATAAACTTGAAAATAAATAGTATGCACCGAAGAAGAATTGGAGAAATATTGTGAATATTTTTATAAAGTTTTCCGAATTTGTCTAAAATTTGTTTTTCTTAAAGGTATCGTATTGCAATCTAATAAATAAAAATACGCACATAGTACAGCAAAAGCAAAAATAATTGAGGAGCTGATATGCAAAAGGTAATTTTACAGGTGAAGCAAAAAATAGTTTTGCCACATTTCCTTTTTAAACATTAAACTTTTACATTATTTTCGTTGTTATTTAGCTTCTCTTTATTTTATATGTTGTGTACGTATATAGAGTAAATGTAGTCTTACATCACTATAATTATTGTTCAAGTCACAGACTATTATATTACTCAATAAATTAATAAAAAAAAGAAATAAACAAGCCGTTCACAGAAACTAAAATACTTCCAGTTTTGACTTAATCCTTTTTCTGCACAATTTGTATGACTAATTTTACTATATTTTCTATAAAAAAGAATGATTTTTTTTTTATTTGCTACCTTTTTCGTGTCAACGCCTCAATTGTTATTAATTTATTCGTTTGGAATTCAACTAACTCTCAGCAACTTAATAACCAGTGCTATATTAAATTTCGTTCATACTTGCCTATTAAATACTGTTATGGTATAATGTAATGTATTTAAAATTAAAAGTCTGCCAGCTGAGTCCTAAATTATTAACTACACGTTCATGTACATAGAATGTACATAGTATATAAAATGTATAAAAGTAACTAAATAAGTTACTTATACCATTACTAATACTGTTTATATTTTCTTTCAGGAAACTAACGGAACTGGATTCTCATCAAAATGTATGTAACGTAATATCCATATATATGTTGTCTAGAAATCATAGGTAAATAAAATAATTTTAAGCTTTCAGCGCGTGTCTGTCCACTCAGTGTTTGATAACTGACGTTCCAAGGTTAATCGTATTCATATATATATTTTTATTTAGTGAAGGTCATTCTATCGTAGGTTCGTAATGCGTAGGTCTGAAAAGATATGTTTTATAAATAAGTATACAATCAAGTATTGAATATATTGAGTATTGATATAAGTATACAATTTTATAAATTCCACTTTTAAATTTCTATGAAGATATTCACCTAAAAAATATTATTTTTACCCGACTAAGGGAAGCGATTCAAAGGCTAAATGATGGGGTTGTCTGGTAAAATGTATGTAACGGCTGGATCGATTTTTAAGTTTGATAGCTCAAATTATTCGGTGAGTTCCCCTAAGTGCTTTCACAGAATTTGAGCTGAAAATACTGAGACTCGTTATTAAATAAAATTCAATCGATTTGCAAAAATCTTCTTAATGTTTTTATGAGCGAACGGCTGGCGAAATCAATTTTATCAATATTATAGTTTAAGAATCTCGATTATTAATTGATTTAAGATGACATCATGTGATGATATATTATGGGGAAAAAAGTACTAATGTTTAACAAAATAAAAAAAAATATTTGAATTAAAAAATGACTGCGGGAATTGGGAAATTCTATCTACCCTAAGGTAATGTACTTCCATATCTACTTAAATATCTTGGTAGATTGCTACGGAAATGGACATCTACGGATATTTAAACATGGTGTAGCAGTCGGGTGCCTAACACAATCTCTTCGAAACTCCGACTCTTTCGAACATGCGCCGATATATGGGACGAAATCTATTTGCCTGAAGCGAATGGCACCCGACTATCAAACCAAGTTTAAATATTCTTAGATGTTATTTACCTCATTAATCTACCAGGATGTTTAAATAGATATGGAAGTATATTCTCTTAGGATGGATAGAATTTCACTTTGTTTTTTTTTTCACGAGGTATCAAGCCAACAAACAAAAGTATCACTGAGTTTCAGCGTCTTGAAAATATTACAACTAAATTTCGAGTTTATTACTATTGGTGTTGTCCCAGCTTCAATGTGCCATGTTAATAAAATCTGTATTATGAACGTACCAATTATGGACTGCTTTCCTTGTTGATTTAAAGGTTTCAGTTTTTTATAGATTGAACAACAATGCCCTCTATTGACTACTGTTCGAACAAAGTTCTCTATAGAAAATTTTTTACTGTTTATCATTGATGTTTGTATAGTGCTCTTGAGATCAGTATGATTCCAACCTTCTTATTAAAAGTTTTGCTAAGAGTAAGTTGAACATTTATGTTATCTTATCCCTATCGTTATGTTTATAGTCAAATAAATATTTTAGAACTTTTCTGAGGCATGCCTATTATTTGTACCGACCTAGTGTCCATTACTAGAACAATTAAATTTCGATGTGTCCATCTTTGATGCAAAAAGGTGTGTGTTTTTTTTTAAATAATAATGTTTTATT